ACACACAGCCTGGGTCCCTTTGGGACTGTTTGCCGCTAGTTAGCAGTACCTCAGCCCTCTCCAGCCCCCTGACTGGGTTAGACATGGCTGTTACTTCAAATGAGCCAGAGGAAACCTATTACTTCAGCCAAGGATTGGGGAGAGGGTGGTTCTTCAGAGTTCAATTACAATCCCTAGCAGTTCAAATGATAGTTGCTGTGCCATAATCTAAAATAAATTGCTTTTTACAAGAAGCCATGTAAGCTTTTGCTCTGTGATGCCAAAAAGCCTGCTCCTTTTTCGTTTTTTTAAAAAAATCTCATCTGAAATTCAAGCAGCACCAACAGCCTTGCCTTTGAACTCGCCTCCACACCTCAAAGAGAATTAGCCTCTTCATTGGGGCTTAGGCATCTCTTTATACCTGACCTTTACATTTAAGAAAACAATACTCTCTCAGGATTTGAGGCCCTCCTCCTCCTCCTACTTCTTACATGCAAGTATATCTGCTTCTCCTCCCCAATCATTCTGCCTCTTGACAAACTCTCCTGCAGGATTTTCTGCCAAAATAAAAGAAAAAAAGGCAAAAAAAGAGAGGAAACCATTTCTTACCACTCAGACCCATGCGACTAGGAAAATACCCACCCCCAAAATCCTAATTGAACCTTTCCCAAGTTATTGCAGCAAGGTGGGTGGGGGGGGGGAGAAAAGAAAATATGACAAACAGCCCACATATACCTTCAGGCTTAACCCACCTGGGGTTGTCCCTCTGTGAGGAAATGGGTGGCACTTCTGAATGCTATGCACTTACAAAGAAGTCTCTGAACAACAACAGTGAGCATGTCTTATTTGCTCCATGGCTTTTAAGGAATCTCTTTTGGCTCTCAGGAGACCTGTGATAAGCAAGTTTTAATTTGTATTGCTCCCCAAAGCACATGAAGCTTTTGCTGAGAATAGAAGAGGCGACAGAAAAATAAGAGAGAGGTCAAAAAGATAGGAAAGTGTGATGGAACATCCTGGGTAGAGAGAGATCATAATTATCAGTGGTCTGGGCTGGAGGACTCAGACACTTTGGGGTATGTTGCATTCCCTTAGCAAGTGGGCCTCCTGTGTATGTATGAGAAAGAGAGGGCTTTTGCAGACTGCCAGAAATAGTGCAAATTGAGTCCACTTTAACTGCCCTGACTCAGTGCTAGGGAACTGTAGTTTATTGTGGCACCAGAGCTCTCTGACAGAGAAAGTTCAATGTCTCAGAAAAACAACAATCCCCATGATTCCCTAGCACTGAGTCAGGACAGTTAAAGTGGACTCAATTTGCACTATTTCTAGTAGTCTGCAAAGGCCCAGAGTCAGGCGGGAAAGAGAAGCTAGGCTTCTAGCCACTGGGTTGCAGCAGTCCTATGTATTTCAAGCCTGGCAGATAGAGTTCTGTGATGGCACTATTGAAAGTGTTACTTAATGCTCAGTAGAAATGCACCACAAAAGAAAGTGGGTAAATAGGACAGTTTTGCTTAAAAAACTGGCATATTAATACATATTTATAGAGGTCAGATTACATTAAACAAGATTGCAGTTTAGGGAAAAAAATGCAGTGTTGTTGTTGCTAACTGCCTTCAAGTTGATTTCAACGGATGGCGACCCTGTGGATGAGATATCTCCTAACCTCCCTATCTTCCACTGTTCTGCTTAGGTCCTGCTGATTCAGGCCCATGGCCTCCCTGATTGAGTCTATCCATCTGGCATGTGGTCTTCCTCTCTTCCTTCTAACTTCATCCTTTTCTAGCATGATTATACAAAACAGTACATTATTATGCAATATAATGCAATACACCTCATCCTGTTGTTAAAGAATCACCTGGTGAGCAGTGGGCCTCCATAATCTGCTGCCCAGGTGTGGGCAATTGTTGAAGTGCAACTTTGTGAGCCCTGAATTTCTCCTCCTCTACACAGCATTTGGACTGGAAAGTCCTTCAGAAAGGGGACTGTTTTCTGATAACCCTTCAAATAAAAGACAGCCTTGTGTTGTAGCGGATATATGGCCACCGTATACACTGTCCAAGCTGTATTGCAAGTATTCCTATACTACTGTCAGCAGGTCCCATTGACAATGACTGATCCCATTGATCTGCCAGGCCCTACAAAGCTCCAGCCGCAGGCCATGCTGTTAATTCTTTGAATCTTATCTGTGGTGCGAGAATCTTTTGTACGTGTGTGCTTCCTTCCCCACTTGCTACCTTACAGCTGATCCCTTCCTGGCTCTGAATTTGAAGCTGCTTCTGGCATCCTGAATATTGTTTACTGTTCTAATATGCTAGTTGTTAATTTTTTTAATATAAAAGAGCAAAACGCAACAAAGATGTTTGCATATAAAATATAATAACAGGAGTAAGGAGTAACAAATATATTTTGTTATTCTTTATTCCTACTCCTGTAAAAACCTCTTATTCCTTTACTCCTTACTCCTACTCTCCAGCCCTGGTCATGGCCTTTCATAACTTGGCTCTGTTCTGTTCCCTGTCACTGGCAACCCACTTCACCCCAAAATTTCTCTTTACACAGCTTTAATTGCTGGACTTTTACCAACAGGATGCTCATAAAACTTGAGACTTTATCCTTTATGTGCAACATGTGTCTGAAAGATAAATATATAGCAAGGCATATTGAACAATTCTGCTGAGAATTACCAAGGGAATCAGGTCTGTTTTAAGAAGAAAAGAGTAGCTTGTTCTTTATTTGCCATTCAAGCTGGTAGCTCTGTCCTGCCTTAGTTTCATTGTCTTTTATTTTCCTCTTTCCTTTGGCTTGAGCTGCTGGCTGCCCTTTCCAAAGCTGCCATAGTCTTTTCAGCTAGAGCACTTGGCTTGCTAGGGATAGACCTGGGTGCTTTACCACTCTCCCTAATCTAAATTATGCTTCCAGTGTTACTTGTCAGTGAGGTCTCAGCGCATTGACAAACCAAACTAAAAGCCATACTTTAATGAAGGAGGGGAAAAAAAACTGAACATATAATCTGTTCTCATGCAAATTTATCCAGATAGTTAAAAAATAAGTGCACACAACCCAGTCGAAGTACACTCTGGTTTTATACTGTTTTGTCTAATAACCCTGAAGCTGTTGTTTAAGATTATGCATGTCCAGAGCGTGTGTGTATGTAAGTGAGTGAATGAGAGATCCTGGCACTTGTTCTGGGACAGACGTTCTCTGTTTTACGCACAATGAGGTGTTCCAATAGATGCACTTAAGGGTGGATCCACATTTCCCTATCCTCTCCACTTTAAGTTGATTTTTTGTAGTTGTCTGCCCTGATCATCATATAACTGATATTGACTGTTACTCTTATGTATCAGAAGAGGGGGGATGTGTGTATCGGGATCAATAGTGGCATTAGAATAAGTGTTATGGGAAATCATGCCACAACAGATGGCTGTGTTCTGATGTTACTCATCTATACTTTGGGATAGGTCAGTCATGTTTGGCTTCACATAGATCTGCTGGTTAAAAAATTAGCATTCTATTGTCTGTTCCTCTGCCCCTGTCCCAAGTGTGGTTATTTAACAACCAATGTTATGATGTTGGATTACAGCTTTCATAATCTATGACCTTTGGCCATGCTATATGAGGCTGGTCAAAGTTAATCCTCAAAACATTCTGGAAGGCCAGTGGTTTCCCTTCCCAGACCTTAATATTGATATCAACAGAAAGGCCATTTTTAAAAACAAATGTTTATCTTAACTCTTCTGATAGTTTGGTACAGTTTCCACTGACAGATATAACAATCATCAAATAAAATAGACACTCAGCTGAAGATAGTGGAGAAAACATGAACAGGTTGAAAGCATCTTCTAGTTCCATGTATTGTTGGCAGGCCTATTTGCTCCAGGACAGTGCAAACCATGTCTTTTGCTACCGCAGTTCTGCATCCCATGGCAAGCAAGGCAAAATGTGTTGATGTCTATGCTGCACTAGTTTTTAAAGAAGTATCAGTGTTAGGGGGGCTGCAGATGGGCGGCTCTAGACTGCCCTGGGAAGCAGAGGATTGGGGCCATGGCTACCGCACACTGTGGCCCCGATCCTCCCTTTTGCCGTCCTGAAAAGAGCGGCAAAATGCCACTCCTTTCAGGGGCGGAAAAAGGGCGCTCTAAGAGCCAGTGTGCAGCTCTTTCTTGCCCCTTCTGGCGCAGCGCATCAGGATGCTGTGCCGGGAGGATGTCCTGATGCCGTGCGTCATTGGGCCGCACGTCATCAGGATGTCATCAGGCTGGGGTTGGGGTGGCTGGCATGCGGCTGCCCCTCCCCATCTCTGCCTCCAGGCTGGCCCTTTGGGCTAGTCTGCAGAGGCCCTTAATCTCTTGTAGCATAAAAAGGAGGAAGAGTGGGGAAGGAAAAAAGAAATATAGCACCACTTTTAATTTAAGTACAAGCTTTTGTGGATATAAACCTATATCTTCAGATGTAGTAAAGAGTGATATTAAATCCTCAGGCATAAAGCATATTTATACAGTTTTGGGACTGGGATAGACTGTACTAGGGTCCAGGAAGATGTACATCATGTCCCTTGCCCTAAATTTTCAAAGGGATGATGGGATCTTTACAGTGGTCAGTGCTGATGTATAAAACCAGTGAATCTACTTACCAAAAGTTAGGGCCTTTACAGACTGCCAGAACTCAATTCAGCTATTTCTTTTTCTAGTCTTCCTTTGCAATTTCCTTGTTCAAGGACTGTGACCTGTAAATCGCTTACTGTATGTCCAGGAAGGCTGAAATGTTTTACAGCTGATTTTGAGGCATTGCCATTTCTAATGCCAAAGTAGTGGCCTCTTATGTAGAGACTGTCCTGTTTATCCAGCATAGAGGGGCATTGCTGGCATTGTTGTAGTGTTCCTTCAAGTTGTTTCTGACTTATGGCAACCCTAAGGCAAACCTGTCTGGGTTTTCATAGCAAGATTTGCTTAAAGGGAGTTGCAGTGGCTTTCCTCTGTAGCTGGGAGGATGTGATTTGCACAAGGATACCCAGTGGGTTTCCATGGCTGAACAAGGATTTGGACCCTGGTCTCCAGAGTCATAGTTGGGTGGTCAAACCACTGCACTACACTGACTCTCATTGTTGGCATACGGTGACATTGGAGGAAGAGCAAGTAAATGCACCTCTGAGGTTCTGGATGATGTTATTGGCCCTTGTACTATTGCTCCCAGAGCAGATGTGGAGACAGAATTGGCATCTGGTTTTGTGGCAGGGTCTTGTCTCTGTATTACCATCCATGTTATGTATCCTGTATTACCATCCATGTTATGTAAATGAGTAATTGTTTAAGATCTGAAGGTTGTCCTTAGACCAATAAAGTCCTGCCTCCCAGAGCTTCTTGGAGGGCTGTGTTATTCTCCAGAATTGGTTGTAACTCATTGATGCTGTGTTTGAGCGGTCTCAGCTGGAGCCTGGTTGTTGTTGTTGTTGTTGTTGTTGTTGTTGTATGCATTCAAGTCATTTCTGATGGTGGCAACAAATCAAGATTCAGAGATTGATAAGAAGGAGAAGCTGATCTAAGAATAAGGAAAGCTGAGTAAAAACCAAACTTGGATGTGAACGATGAAGAAAGCTGAGAAGATTTTTTTTAATTCATTTGGAAATGTGCTACAGGAAGAAAGTTTTATGGGTACTAGGGACCACCAAAAAGACAAATAGTTGGGCCCTAGAACAATTGAAACCCACACTTTCATTATAATCCCAAATGACTAAACTAAGGGTATTGCATTTTGGACTTTGCAAGGATTTTTGGAACAAGACTCATTAGGAAAGACAATGATGTTGAGGCAAACTGAAGACAATAGGAAAAGAGGAAGGCTGCATTTCAGGTGGATTGATTAACTAAAGCAGTGCTTCTCAGATTTTTTTTTTTTAATCCTTGTGACCCTCTTCACATCTACATGCAGATGTCACCCCCATGCTTGGCACATTATATGAATAAACATATTTTGTTTATTTAGTGTGCATATTTTTGTTTGCACATATATGTATATTAAAATTTTAACATTTTATAAGGAAATAACATGGTTTAAATGAGAACAGTTTTAGTTAAATAAATTCAGTACTTAGCACATGTGTAAATTTACAGTGTCTCTTGCACAGCCACACTCACATACACTAATGCTCACAGATATGTACACACTCAGACCTACTCTTTTATTCTTTCTCTCACAAACATACTCATTTATTCTCTCTCACACACAGTCCACATAGAAATATTCATTCTCTTGTGTTCCGCTCCTCCCTCAGACAGAGAGAGGCAGCTGCTCTAAATGCCCTCCTTGCCTTTCTCTTCCCCTCCAGGACAGAAAAAGTTTGGGAAGCAGAGAGGGGGGATCATGACCTCCAAGTCTTGCACTCCCCCTTGAGCAACCCTTATACCCCATGAGGGTCCTGCCCCACAGTTTGAGAACCACTGCACTTAAAGGAAGCCATGGCCCTGTGTTTGTAAGATCTGAATAGGGCTGTTAATAACAAGTTCTGATATTCTACATCAGTTACATCTTCTGGTGTAGAAGCCAACCTTCACAGCATGCAGCTGCACTGTGTGAAGGATGTATGTTCAGCTGCTGATCAAGAGGCTTGGAGAATGACATTTCCATCTGAGGTGACCAGACGTCCTATCTGCAAAGGAGGACAAAGCCCCGCAAAACGGTGGACATTTCAGAAAAAGTGTAGGGCATTACATAATAAAAGCTAAAAAGACTCAT